CCAGGTTGAGTTCCCTTTTCATTCTAGGACTCTTGTCCCTTATCCACTTATCTCGGATTCCGATATCTTCGGAGATAACCTCGGCCTCGCCGAGATAACCTCGGTGTCACAACCAGGACACGTGGCACTTCGGCTAACACGTCGGCGTCACCTTGCCACGTGTTGGTATCAGCAATCCTGTAACAGAAAGAAAAGGCTCCGGCGGTGGCTCTTCCACCCGGGGGCACTCCGACGATCAAGTCAGAATATCTCTCAAAGATAATCAAGTGCTAAACTCACTACTCAAAGTATAAAACTGCGTACCTTAGACCCACGGGGGTGCTTCTTTTTTATAGTTTACTCAATCCTAGTCCCACTATAAGCTTGACTTCTATGGACTCCAATTCTGTACTTACTTTGGATTTCTCAAGAGATAAAGATAAACTTCCTAAGAGTTTTATCCTTATCTTAGCAAAGTCTTCTCTTTACTCTAGGACTCTTGGCCCTTATCCATTATCCGCTTATCTCGGATTCCGATATCTTCGGAGATAACCTCGGCCTCGCCGAGATAACCTCAGCGTCACAACCAGGACACGTGGCACTTCGGCTGACACGTCGGCGTCACCTTGCCACGTGCTGGTATTCAGAAAATACATCCCCACAAACTTGAAAGTTTTGCTTCAAGTATAACGTATACTTCATCATCTTATAAATTTATCTGTTTTGCTTTAACATTCTCGGTCGTTTTCGATCGTTCTTGTTTCGTTCGAGCTGTTCGGTATTGGTTTGCTGACTGTTAGAATTATGTTCGGTAATACAGTACTGAACATAATCCTTTTGTTCAATACATAGGTTTCGAACATTAATGCAGATAGTCAGTTATGTAATTTTCTTTGTTAAACTAACTTTGAATGGAAAAGGGTGATTGGTAATACAGTACTGAACATAATCCTTTCGTTCAATACATAGGTTCCAAACATTAATGCAGATAGTCAGTTATGTAATTTTCTTTGTTAAACTAACTTTGAATGGAAAAGAGTGAATTGAAATGGATTTAAGTTATGTATTTTGAATGGATTTAATTCATGTTATTTTAAGTTGTGAATTGGAATGGATTCAAGTTACACAGTGATGAACAAATTTTGTTCGGACATATAGTACTGACAGGATCATTATTGTTCGACAAAACAGTTCTGAACAAAATACATTTTTTCGGCTACACAGTGGTGAACAAATTGTTTTGGGCTACATTCAGAATTTTGATAGCCATTTAGATGATGATTTTGATTTTCCTCATCTTGCAAACGGTTATACAAATCCCGTAGAAATTAGAGTATTTTCGATCGATCTCAGCGATGACGAAGATACAAAAAGCAACGAAGAAGAAGATGATAAGAGGATGAGAGAGGTTATTGATTCGGCGATACGGAGAGCGTTCAGAGAAGATGAGAGTCGTCAGAATGCTCCGTTGATGGCCGAGACGACGACGAGAGTGATGGAGGGTTGGGGTCCAATAATTCTATACTGGACCAAAGCTCAAAACTTTAAAGATTAAGTGAGTCAGGGAAGGAGAGGGATGAAAAATTAGGTGGGTGTGCATTTTATTGTAAAAAATATTATGAATATGAATAGATTTGATAATAAGTGAAGTATCTTAAAAAATATTATTAAAATTTAAAATTTAGAATTGGGGTGCAAAGAAATGTTGATCGGTGTTAATAGCAGAACTATTTTTATAAATCCGCACCGACGTGGCATAGTTGCATTGGCCAATACGTCAGGGGCAACACATCAATCCTACCGTACGGTGCAACGCACCCACCTAATTCCGAAACCATGCCGGCGCCAAAAGCAGCAGGACGGCCCTCTGGAATAGTTGCTTGAAAACGGAGGAGGTTCCAATTAATCAATAGCTTCGATAGCTTCCGGATCTGACTCCATTCCCGGCCATTTTCACAGTGATATGCCAGAACATAGCAGCCAACAATGAGTGGAGCGAGACTGTGTGCATTGTTGGGGGAATTGGGTTACGAAGGGCACGAGTCATTGGACCCAGACAGCTTCGAATGGCCCTTCCAATACGACGACGCTCGACCCATCCTCGACTGGCTCTGCTCTAGCCTCCGCCCTTCCAACGTCCTCTCTCCCTCCGAGGTTTCTCAGTTACGTCTCCCTCTCTCTCAATTCAATTTACTTCAAATTTAGCAAGGTTGCAGATCAAAATGCGATGTGGGTTTTTTTTAATGCTAAATTTTCAATGATTTTGCTTCTCTTTCGAATAGGGTTCTTTGATAATTCAGTAAATTTGAAGTGGGTTTGTTGGCAAAATCAATATGGGTTTTAGGAGTATTCAGAAATTTCTATGCCTGCCTATGTTGTCTTTCTTTCTTTTCTCTTTGTTTTTACTTCCTTCTTTGTTCTGTTGCCTGGGTCAGAATTTTACATTCCTCTTGCCATCACATGTTTTGTTTGGTATTGGATTTAGCCAGGGAAGAAGAAAATAAAATGCAAAAGAAATTATTTTCCTTGTTTGGTTACAATGCAAAATAGGGAGGAAAGAAAAGAAAATATATGATGGAAAAAATTGAATTTTTTTTTTACCTTTAGGTGTTTTTAATTCTCTTCATTTTATTCTAATGTTTCCTTGCACCAAATAGAGCCTAGGACATTTTTCCCCAGCAACTACAGATACACATACCCTATGGTTTTCATTAGTAAGTGAGTTGGAAGTTAGTTATATATTTTGATTGCAGTACTCAATGTTCATATAATATAAATTTTTAATTTTGTTGAATTTACTACAACCATCAATTGATTGTGTGCCCATCATGTACTAAAGCCAAACTCATTCCCAATCACTCTCCTTGCCCTTTTAGATAATTTTGGGTTTTGTTATATTGGAAATGGTTAAGTAAAGGCAAGGCAAGGAAAATGCTAATACATACCTTAGAAAGGAAACCATTCATTAGCAACACTATTTGTTTCAAATTAGTAGGTCATGTTCAAATTGTCACTTGATTCAAGTGTTAGATTGTTAACTGTCATCTTATCTAAAAGTTTAAGTTGTTACAAAGAGGGTAACTCTATTATTTACATCCTCTACATGTCTCACGGGTGGCCCAACTCTCCTCCATAATCGCTTCATACACACTTAAGTATTATAATTATCAAGTAGGTTGAGGTTTGAACAAATTATCTGTTTCAAGCTTTGATACCACATTAGAGAGAGGGATAACTATTGTTTATATTATCAGCCAGAAGTCAGTGTTTCCCTTATTAATAACTGTCTTGTATTTGTTATCCAGGTGTGAGCAATTTATACAAGAAGGGAAGTTATTGGAGGTATCATCATCTTGAGTGTTCTTCTAAATAGCATTCTATGGATTGATGAATGCTTTTAACTTCTTGCATGTTTCTTTACGAAGTTCTACTGCTGCATGAAAACTTTCCCATGGAGCCTATGAAAATGTGAAGTATCGAGGACAATAGAATCAGACTATTCTTTTTTCTTGGTTACTTATCTCTATTGTTTTTCTATTTATAGTAAAAAGATACTGACATCGGTCAGTCTTTCAGGAGGCCAAGTAGTGGGAGTTTGGTGGTACACAAAACATAGTGGGTGTTTGGGAAGTGGCTATTTTAGAGGCTTTTTGGCTATTTTAATAGGCTATTTTAGTTTTTGTGTTTGGGAAGATGAGATGAATTTTTATTTGAGTTGTTGTATTGAAAAATGTGTTGAAATGATTTTGAAGTTAAAATGACAAATTTGCCCCGAAGATTACATTTTTTCAAAATTGATGTAAAGGGGCAAAATCGTAATTTACCAAGTGATGGAACAACTTGTCAATGTGACAGTGTAGGCTGTGTCCCACGGCTGCAGCTATTTTTTTTTTTTTTTAAAATAAAAAGGGTTGGTTTAGGGGCTTTTTGGCTTTGTTTTAGTTTGAGGCTATTTTAGCCTCATTTTTTTTTTTTTTTTAAATAAAAAGGGTTGGTTTAGGGGCTTTTTGGCTTTGTTTTAGTTTGAGGCTATTTTAGCCTCAAACCCATCTTCCCAAACACCCCCATTGGGGTCACCATATCAGGCTTTGTCTCGAAACCTTGTTAGGCATAGCCTTTGTGATGCTTATATGACTCTTTGATTTATTTTCTGGTTGGATTATGCACAGTGGAGTTATTGTAACTAGCATGTTTGCCTGAGCAGTTCAATATTTGAAAATTTGATGCTTTGTGCAGAAGTCTAGCAAGCACAGACACGGAAACATGACACGACACAAACATGACACTGCCACACATCGAATATTCTATTCATGTCGATTTGGCTGCATTTTTTCCAATTACATGGGATTAATACACTTATTACATGTACACTTGATGCGACGACTTAACAGGGGGAAGACTTGGATTTTGCTTATGATAGCATATCTGCCTTTTCAACTAGGAGAGACAACCAGGAGGCAGTTTTTGGAGCTGAAGAAGGATTGAAAGACATACGGTACAGCTTTTTTTGCACATATTTGCGAACTTGACTTTTTTGTTTTTTCTTGTGTTTATTTGAGGGCTTTTTTCTATCAGTGGTAGATGGTGATTAATTAATTTTATTCTGCAGCTTTATTTTGATAATGTCAGAGTTGTTTTTATGTGGGAAGTTTGTGTTTGTTGCTTCATATTTTTCAAACTTTTGTTACTGGACTATTGCTTGGGTGCGTGTAGTAATAGCATTGTTAATAGAGATTTTGGAAGTATATATAAGTTAAATTTTGGCAGAAAATGGTTCTGAAAATTTTAACGTAACCTTTGTTTTCAGAGAACCATTTGTGCCTCTAAATGAGTACTTTTAGCTCATGATGTCGTGTGTATTATGTTGGCATTTAGTACTTCTTTAACATTTTGCTGGAGTACAAATATTTTCACAACACAACCAAGTTAAACAGCGGTATAGGAGTGAGAAGTGTTAGATCACCACTACTCCGAAAAGTTTAAGTTGTTATGAAATGACCCAATAATACATATGAAGTTCTTCAACACCCTCCCTCATGTGTAATCTTGTCTTGTACTTGGAGATGCAAACATCCAAATAGAGAAGCATAATGCAAATGGAGAAACTTGAACCCCTGACCTCTCCTAAATTAAGCTCTGACACCATCTTATATTGTAAAAATTTATGTATTATTGATTGATATATGTTGTTGTGTATATTACAAATGGTGAGTGGCTCATTATATAGGAGAGGGTGAGTGTAGTAGGTGAGGAGTAGGTGGTGGTAGGTGATGGTAAATTGGTGGTAGGTGATGGTAAATTTTAACAGCCCCCCGCAAACTCAAGGAGGATTGAAACTAACCAACTTGCGTTTGGAGAGAGTAACAAAACAAGAAAATACATAAAAATAAAAGAGGATAGGAGACACTGTATGGTCGTGTCAGACCTTTGGTGAAGACACTGTATGGTGGTGTCATAACGTTGTAGAGGACACTGTATGGGGGTGTCATAACGTGGTAGAGGACACTGTATGGTGGTGTCATAACGGTGTAGAGGACACTGGATGGCGGTGTCAGACTGATGTAGAAGACAGTTTATGGGGTCATGTCGGACCGTTGTAGTAGACAATGTTGTGACAGTTTACGGAGTCTTGCTGGACCCTTGCAGAAACTAACCGGAATCAATGTCGGCACAGTTTATAGAGTCTTGTCGGATCCATGAAGGAGCTAACCGGAATCAATGTCGGAACAGTTTACAGAGTCTTGTCGGACCCCTAAAAAGTCGCACCCTCAAAAGGTGTGCCCAATCTTTCAAAAAAGGCGTGCCATCAAAAAGCGTGCCCAATCCATAAAAAGGCGTGCCGGACATGATGGCGAGGCACGTGAGTGCCTTGGCTGGCGCGCCCGTTTGTCGTCTGGCGTCAAGTGGCGCGCGATACGCGTGGCTGTCATGTCTATTTAACCAAGGCGGAGGCTGAGGCGGAGACAAAAAAAACTGCTAAAATCCTCTGAAAAAACCTGCGTTGAGAGAGAAACTCTGTAACACTCTGTTGCCCAGAAAATGGCCTCGTCTTCCCGTGATTTGCTCACTCTCTTTCCCGACCTCAACGAGTCAACAAGAGAGATAACTGGTGCGGGGGCCAGTGAACCGCAACCAAACACCTCTGGTTTTGCTCCGTTGAACTTTCCGATGCGATCTGTGGAGCAAAAAATGGCAGTGCAAACGGATATTGAGGCCAATCAGTATATTTTAAAGTCATGTGTGGAGACCATGACGACAGTCACAAACTTGTCGCACCGGCTGCAGAGTAGGACAAATGAGGTGCAGCATTTAAACGCCCAACTGGCTCTGCTCCAACGCATGTATAAGGATGCGCGAGCAGAGATAAGTGTGCTAAAGGCGGAAAACAAGGAGCTGAAGCGGAAGGCCACCGTGATGTTCCGATTTGGAGGGCCGCCATATGCGGCAGTGGAGGAGCAGGCAGGAGGCAACTTGCTTAGTGGCCTAGGAAGCACGGAGGCAACACCGTCAAGGCCCGCTCAGGACGGAGGCAAAAAGAAGAGACCTGCAGTAGAGTAGAGAAGAAAAATCCCGCCTGTAGGTGGGTGTTTGTGGGTGATGTAATTTTTTATTTTTATTTTTATTTTATTTTTATGGTTAAATAGACATGACAGCCACGCGTATCGCGCGCCACTTGACGCCAGACGACAAACGGGCGCGCCAGCCAAGGCACTCACGTGCCTCGCCATCATGTCCGGCACGCCTTTTTATGGATTGGGCACGCTTCAACAACATATATCAATCAATAATACATAAATTTTTACATGGTATCAGAGCAGGTTTAGAACCTAGTATTTTCGCTTCACCGGCGGGCGGCAACCTCACCTTAGCCGTCCGCCGGTCCTCAACCTAGTCCTCTAAATTTCTCTATACATACCTTCACTCTTCTTCACCACCTCGCCGAAGCAAACCCAAAATCCCTCTGGGACATTTCGTCGAACACCATGTCTGCAACAATGATGGCGTCTCCAATACCAGATCAATCCTTCCGTCGGACCACTACAAGCTCTTGAAATCAAACGTCGATGCTTTGAATCTCATCACCTCTGGAGAAATTTTTGTTCTTCCTTGCTAATGCTCTTTCTTCAATCAGCTGCAAGATGTCTTCTTCTGTTAACCCTGCTCTCTTTAGTGCTTTTTCTTTCAACTGCTGAAGAACCTCAGAGTTCAAAGAACTGTTCATGAATCTCAAAGCTTCTTGAAGAGCGGCATTCACCAAATATGCAGGAGTAATCCGAGCTTCAAAGCATCGACGTTTGATTTCAAGAGCTTGTAGTGGTCCGACGGAAGGATTGATCTGGTATTGGAGACGCCATCATTGTTGCAGACATGGTGTTCGACGAAATGTCCCAGAGGGATTTTGGGTTTGCTTCGGCGAGGTGGTGAAGAAGAGTGAAGGTATGTGTAGAGAATTTTAGCGGACTAGGTTGAGGACCGGCGGACGGCTAAGGTGAGGTTGCCGCCCGCCGGTGAAGCGAAAATACTAGGTTCTAAACCTGCTCTGATACCATGTAAAAATTTATGTATTATTGATTGATATATGTTGTTGTGTATATTACAAATGGTGAGTGGCTCATTATGTAGGAGAGGGTGAGTGTAGTAGGTGAGGAGTAGGTGGTGGTAGGTGATGGTAAATTGGTGGTAGGTGATGGTAAATTTTAACATATATCACCACTAGTTCCAGAAGCTTAAGTATTTAGGAAAGGGGCCCAACAATGCATATGAAGCTCTCCAACAAGGACTTCATAGAATTAATTTAGGCTTACTTCTTTTCTCTTTAGTATAGTCCACTCTGTCTCTTTTTTTTTTGTATGGCTATATGGATTTTGAAAATTCTGGCTTTACTAAGCTTTGTCAAGAGAGGCAGCATTGGCTGTTGCAATGAGCTCATTGATGTAGAATGAGATAGGAGAAGAGAAGGAAGAGAACTCAAGAACGGCCATGGCCTAAAACTATATATAATATTATTCAAAAGTTGAATACTACAACGTAAATCCTAGTAGTTACAAGCAAAAAGAAACCTAACCAAAGTAGGAAATCTAATTAACTAATATCTCTTACTAATTTTTTATTTAATTAAACCTAATTAAATAATAATAATAATTTAAAAAGAAAAACTACCTATTATATTATGAGACCAAAAAGTCTTCGGGCCCACAGGCTTCACCCCTGGCTTCCAAATTTGATAATTGGCCTCCAACCTGTCAAGGGCTGCGCCATCACTCAGCCTGCCAACATGATGATTCAAGTTTGAGTTTAAGGGCAGGCATTTGTGTGAATAATGCTAATGGTAAGGTTTGTACCTAGGTCATTACAACGTATGGTTTTTCTCACCACTAAAGTCAGTGCCTGTAAATTTCCTTTGACATGCAGAGTTAATTTTTTGCTTCATTGTTTCCTTTGAAATAAGTCATGATGATGCATACTTGTTCTTTGCTTCTCTTGATGGATTAACTTTCTTCTCCAGGGATGCTACTTTAGCATATAAAGCTGAGACTTTGGAATTGCAGAGACAGCTTAGGCAATTGCAGACTCAGTATGATATGCTTACTGGACAGGCTTCAGCATTGATCCAAGGAAGAAGGGCACGAGTGGCAGCAACATCTACTGTCAATGGACAGCTTACTACTATAGATGATAGCCTTTCAGCAAGAAATTTAGAGGTGTGCAGTACAAATCAACGTTGTGTTATTAGCTTTAGCAGTTGGACTTTATTCTATGAAAATTGGTCAATCATGGTGGAATGCCTATCTCAGTTTCTTTAGGAGGTAGAAAAAGCAAGGTTTTAAGCAATGGTGTCCATTCATAATAATATCAGTGGTTGTTGAAATACATTTTCATTAATGAATATATGCTTTTAGAATTCCAAAATATGGTTTTATACAGTACACATGACAAAAATAATCTAGAGTTGGATTACATCCATTATGTGGATTTGCAGGTTTGCTGTTGATCTACTTTTTTTAAGCAAACAGTAGACAACAAATATGACAAAACAAGAATGATGTCACATGTGATGTGCTAGTACTTTACCTTACCTTACCATATAATTTATTTTAATTTTAGTTAAATATCCATTTTTTATTTTTAACTGAACCCAGTGTACTTCTTTGTAACCAACAACCTCTCCTTTTTGCTTGCCTCACTCTTTCAACCCCACAAAAAGTAGATTATTTACATTTAAATGGAAAAGCGGACATTCCCTGGGCTTGGGGAGGAACTTTTTTGCCCTTGAAGAGGTGCTTGTGTAGGGCAGAGGAGGAGGAAGAAGGCTTGGTGTTTGGCCCCTTTCACAATTATATGGCTTTTGTGGGGAGAAAAGAATATAACTTTTGAAGGCGAAGAGGTGTCAATTTTGAAATTGAAGAAAAGTTTGTCTCCATATAGTATAGTTGGTTTTTGGGGGTGGTTAACTCATCTTTGGATCAATTTTTGGACTTTATAGAGGACTCTGAATAGGTTTGGTTCCTGGAGCAGAAGCTGCAGTAATGATTTCTGTTTTTATTTATCTTTTATGATATTTTCCATAACAAATAAGAATGATAGCAAGTGTAAACATTCTGGAGGGAACTCAACATTGATTATCCAACTATAGTATCGTGTCTTTTTTTTGTTTAGTTGCATGACAGCGTTTGTATTTTCATTTGAATCTTTCACCTTAGAATAATCTCTATTGGGTAATGTTTTGGTTTTGATGCATACATTTTAATTTGGTGAGCATGTAAATGCACTTCATTTGGTGCTTGATTTCATGAGGTCTTAAAAGTTTTCTGTTGTAAATTAGATGAATGCAGTTCTCGGAAGGATGGCTTCTACGGCTCAAGAGTTGGCTCATTATCATTCGGGGGATGGTAATGTGTCTTTTCTATCCACTTTTGTCATTTGTGCACCATTTTGGTTTTGTCTATTGGCAAATTTACTAATTTTAATGTGATCTGTAAATTTTAATGTGATAAAATTACTTTTATCTTTTCCTTTGAAAGATTTCATACGGTTATCTGAATTGTATGTAAACATAGATGGGTTGGGTTTTGAATATTGAATGCTCTAATATTTTTCCATTAATAAGCTTACTTGCTTTGCTAGATACATTGGCTAAGGGTTGACCTTGTATATTGGGTATTGGTTGAGGTTCTTTGCCTGATTATTGTTGAGCTAGTCCGGGGTTGGTTGTTTTGGACCTCAGCAAACCACACATCAATTTACTCATTGTCATCTATGTCAGACGAATCTTTGGTTGTTTGTTATTTTCCAACACCAATGCTTTACGTTGGCTTGACATTCTATACGAAAAGTAAAGAGTTTTGGGGTTGCTCGGGAAAAATGAGAAAAGCAAATGAAATGCACAACATGGTTTTGTTAAACTACTTTTGTACCTTTTTGAATGAGTTTTGGAATTATTTTACATGCAGAGGATGGCATCTACTTAGCTTATGCCGACTTTCATCCATATTTGATTGTGGATGCGTCTTGTATGAAGGAGCTGAATCAGTGGTTTCATAAACAACTGGACACGGTATATGATCATGGAACTGTTAGTTCATTTTATTGTATTCACTTGGCTTTCTTATCCAATTCCGTTGGTGTCTCATAGATATATCACAGAAGAAGAGGTGAAAGAGAGTGCTCTCCCAAAATATTTCGACTTTTCTTCTTCTATTTTGTATATGGGTAGCATTTACTTAACACCGTCTAAAACAAGAACATGCAGCAATATTGTTAGAATTCTAATGACTTACTGATAATCTTCAGATTCTTCTCATGGATCTTGCGTCAATTAGGTTGCATCTAGGGGTGTAAACGGTTCGGTTTGGTCAGTGTTAAGAATATATTTAGCACTGAACCGATTCTTTCGGTTTTTATGATTGAGAAATTGACACAGACTGTATGTTACAGTTCGGTTTTATCAGTTTGTTGGTTTGATGTAGAAGATAAATTTACATGAAATTTTAAAATATTTTATAGTAGATTATAGAATTTTACATCGAAAATAAATGAAGAAAATATATGAAAACTCCTCTATAAATGTTTTTCTCCCTATTTTTTATCATAAAAGTGTATTATATTAGTTATTTCTCATATAATGTTCAAGAAATTATAATATAAAAATATTTAATTATAATGTTCGGTCGGTTTGGTTTGCATCGGTATAAAAGGTTTCAAAATCGAAACAGACCGTATGTTATGAAAAACGGACCGAAAACTAAAATTTCGATTGGTTTTGATCAGTCGACTCGGTTTTATCAGTTTTTCTTACATCCCTAGTTGCATCTCTCTCTCTCTCTCTCTCTCCCTCTCCTCTTTGAAGGAGCCATATGAAGCACATTTTTATTGCTTGCTTCCATGTGTGATGGACATTTTGTGCTTTAATCTAAAACATTCAATATACTATTGTTGCATTGTCAGTAGAATGGAATTCTGTTAAACAAATGCAAATACGTTAGACTTCTTCCACTTTTTGGATCTAAAACATTCAATAGACTATTGTTGCATTGGCAGTAGAATGGAATTCTGTTAAACAAATGCAAATACGTTAGACTTCTTCCACTTTTTGGCTGAAATAGTTGTTCATTGGCTATTTGATTAATATTGTGCGATATGGTTGCTTACAAAAGAGTCATTTGTGTCTGTTTTTATCCTGCTGCCTATACCCTTGATGGCCTATTTCATACCATAATTAAACATACTTGAAATAGCATTTCTTGGGAGTTATGATGAAATATATTATATACTGAGTGTAAATTTTCAGATATTTCTTCATGGAATTTGTGTCATGTTAGTTTTGGTGACCTTTTTTTATGATTTGATTCAGGGTCCTTATCGACTAGTTGCTGAGGAGGGCAGAGCTAAATGTTCATGGGTGAGTCTTGACGACGTCTCAAACACCTTAGTACGAGGTAGTCTTCTTTCTTTTTTCTATTGCTTAAATTATCTTGTAGTCTTTCTATATTGATGTTATGTTCTCATGGCAGCGACCGTCTGTTACTTGCTTTTGTATTGTATAATGCTTATATAATTACCATTTTCTGTTCTGATGTAGTTCTTTTTATTCCCATGATTTTTGAAATTTTTATAGTTTAAAACCGGAGGGAAGGACATGTGAGGTGTTCTTCTATTTGATACATGGGTGAATTACATTGACACCCCTTGAATTCTTTTGAAATCACACTGTCACCCCTCTATCTATTCATTGAAATATCACTGACCTCCCTTACTTTTGGTTTTAACGTATCAATTACGCCCATCCGTGAGTCATCTGTTTGTTGACTAATGGAAATTGCTAACTTTGACCAATAAGATTTTTCAAAATACCCACTTTGCTCTTGTACACAACCACTACCTATTTTCACTTCTGCAATGGGTAGGTAGTTTAATCCAAATAAGTACACACAAAAAAAAACATATTTTCTTTTGGTTATATTTGTTTCTGCAGCTTGGCAGACTTTGAGAAATCCTCTTGTCAATTTGTAGGCATTGACACAAACCAACCCACATATACATGTCCAGACAATTTCAATTTCTGTAGGCCATATATTATCAAGTCTACTTATAAAAAATAAAAAATAAAAAATAAAATAAAGCAGGAATTTTTGACTTATCATTCTCCCTTTACTGATGCAGCAGATTTAGAGAAGTCACATCATCAACGTGTATCTGAATTGCAACGGCTTCGCTCTATGTATGTAATTTTACTTATGCAACTTTTTAAAATTTTTGGTTCTTTGCATTTTAATTGTTTGGTTTCAATGTTTATGGGATTTTGAAGAAGGTTATAATCTAGATGAATATGGCTTTTTCAAGTTTTAATTAGGAAAGAGATGTGAAGGTGGTATTTATCTGTAGAAGGAAAAAATATTAGCCAAGGTCAATGATAACTATGATCTGGTTCTCTGAAGAGGTTTTGTTTGGTTCTTGCTGTGAGATGTGACCATCTTCTGTAATACCCAATTTTTTTTTTTTTTCCATTCAATTTTTTTTTTTCAATATGTATCCATCTTCCCTCTTTCTCCAGTTTACCTTCTATAAAGAAAAAATTGAATTTGATGAATTTGATATGTCCTTGTATGACGTCTCTAGTCTTCTATTTTTCACATTTTGATCATTGAGGATGTTTTTGCTGTGGGGTGATATAATTTGAATATCTTGTTCTGTTGGGATTTTTTTTTGTTATCAATTAAATTGTGACAGAGCCCTCCGCCTCCTCTGTCTGTTACCTGTGTTATTATTATGCACATGACAATGAACTATGTTAGATTGATCCTACTTCTGAAACATTATCGTGAGAGTGTCTAGTTCTTCAGTATATTATGCAATCAGGTTCAATAATTTTTTTGTCCGAAGTTGTTTCTTAAACAAGACACCTACATTTTTGAACATGCTTCTTTTATAACATCATTTTGATCATTGAGGATGTTTTTGCTGTGGGGTGATATAATTTGAATATCTTGTTCTGTTGGGATTTTTTTTTTGTTATCAATTAAATTGTGACAGAGCCCTCCGCCTCCTCTGTCTGTTACCTGTGTTATTATTATGCACATGACAATGAACTATGTTAGATTGATCCTACTTCTGAAACATTATCGTGAGAGTGTCTAGTTCTTCAGTATATTATGCAATCAGGTTCAATAATTTTTTTGTCAGAAGTTGTTTCTTAAACAAGACACCTACATTTTTGAACATGCTTCTTTTATAACTTTGTGATAATTGTTTATCTGCCTATATAGTTTGTAGATGTCCAATACTTATAAAAAAAGGTTTATACTTGTTCAATTCTGTGACAGATTTGGAACGAGTGAAAGACAGTGGGTAGAAGCTCAAGTTGAGAATGCTAAGCAGCAAGCTATTCTCATGGCACTTAAAGCTCAAGTAACATCAGATGAAGCTCACATACATCTTGATCTTCATTCTCTTAGGTAGAAGATCTCTACTTTATTTGTGATTCTTGAACATGGATTCTTCTTGTTCATTGAGCTCCTTTCAATGCTCTTAGCAAGATGTATTACTTGAGCTGAAATGATATGCATGAAAATGTCCTATGAAAGTTGCCATTGCATTCAATGGCTTGTGGAGCTCTTTTATGCAAAATTCATATGGATGTGATTTGAGGTGGCTGTGAACAGAAAATAATTTCCAATATACTGTATAGATCTGTGGAGTAAAAAGTTACATTTCCAATTCATCGAAAGCTAATTGGTTAGGTGAAGCTCAAAAGGTCAGAATGATGCTCTAGAGGTGGAACACTTGCAACCTTTACATGCTCTTCACTTTATTGTATTTTTACTTGAAAGCACTTACTTCCTATGAATTATCTTATGTCCTTGATCTACAGTACAAATATCAAGTCTCAATTATATTGCCAAGTGACATCATTTTTAAGAACTCTGACATAATCTACTGCCACGCCAATATTGCCTACAATACCAACTCTAGAGTTCACTTCATATATTAAGGGTTGGTTTGGCATGTTTGAAAAAAGTCAAAAAGCCAAAAAGTCACTATCTTATTTAAGTCACATCACCTCTCTAACACATCACTTCAAACCCAACCCAAACTCAACCCATATTTCATAAAAAGTCAAAAAGTACACTTATTTAGATCATCCCAAACAACCCCTAAAATGGACTTGGATCATAGTGTGATTGGGTTACTGTGATGCAATAGGATTGATAATACCATTCTTGTACATGCTTCATAATGAGGTCTCTAAAGTTTGTTGATTAATGAAAGCTCTGTTTTGGGCATGAAACAGCTTTGGCCTTTTTCATACAGTGTTTGATCTATGAATATTTCATATTTTGGAAGTGCTTTGTTTCTGTGGGATGTTGTTGACTGTTTGCAATAGTGAGACAAGTAGGCTAAAACAGTAACTTCTTTGGTAATTAACAAACTACTAGTGCAATTATGTTTAAAAATTTTGTTTTGTCTAATGAATAGGAGAAAGCATGTTGAACTCGTGGGAGAACTTTCAAATCTTTATCACAAAGAAGAGAAGTTGTTATCTGAGGTATGAACCTTCAGCAAGTATCTGATTTCTACGATCTGCTTGTTGTAACCTAAGTTCTCTATGAGTTGTTCCTTATGCTTAAATGACTCCATTCTTTAGTGGTGGTAGCCATTAATTTCTTATTTGTGACATGCTTTCAATATATTACATGTTTTTTGCAACATATGAATGCTTGATTCTTTATCTGCAGTGATGTGTCCTGGATGTTGATTCTGTTGTCAGCTATCAGATTTTGTTTTTAATTCCAAGTTAAAGCATAAATTAGTTAGGTGCTTAGAATCAATTTCTACTTGTTCTTTCTCAGTTAATAAACTTATTTGAGAAATATCCATCATGTTTGCTGTTGGCATCTTTAATGGAAATTTCCACTACAATTCTTTGGTGACTAGGTCACTTTGCTGAGGTTTAGTCATATAAAACTTAAAAGCTGATAGTTCCTCTCATTGATAGTGTTTGCAAAATTTAGTATCTACTTGATGACTTCAACTGATTGGACTAGTTTATTTATTCACAGTTAGGGGTTGTTTGGGATGTTCTAAATTAGTATACTTTTTGACTTTTTATAAAATATGGGTTGTGTTTGAAATGATGTGGTAGAGAGGTGATGTGATTTAAATAAGATGATGTGACTTAAATAGGATAGTGATTTTTTGACTTTTTGGCTTTTTTAAGACATCCCAAACAAGGCCTTAGTTTACATAAGCTATCTCAACAGTCATTCAAGCTGTTGCCTAGATATCTTCTTGTTCCAGCTTGCTTATGTGCTTGCCATGATGTCTCTCGATAATGCACATGGTCAGAATACATTTCAATTGCTGGTAGACTCTTGAGCAATAAAATGTGAATCGTCCTTTATATGTTCTTTTGTATCTTCAGGAATGGTCATTGACATCTTTTTGGCTATTAACTGTATGTTGTTTTCGTGTACGAATAACTATAACACAAATTAGATACTTTTTCTAAAAAGGCCCTGATTTCTGTAATTATAAAATTTTGGGCAAATTACAAAAAACAACCTTAGGGTTTCGCGTGTTTTTAATTTAAACCCTAGGGTTTTAATTTTAACAATTAAAATCCTAATGTTACTTCCGTATCACAGTTTAGCCCCCCGTCCATCTTCGTCTGATTGAACTAATGAAAATCTCAGTAAAATTTTCAAACACACATGTTCAAGCCCTTGTGTCTCCCTCATTGTAACTCCATTTCACCTTATTTTCATGTCGTTGGATGCACCTCATGGCCTATTTTTCATTTCACCCCTCATACGCCTTGTTCCACCTCTTTTTGCGTGCCATCGAAGCTCTGAAAGTTGGTCAAAATAAGATTTTTCTCTCTTTTTATTTATTTATTTATTTTCTTCTTCTATCTTCTATCTCCATACTTCTTCCTCCCTCCTTCCTTCTTCCTCCTTCCTTTCCCTCTTCCTTCATGGCCCTTCCACTGAACTCGTGGTGGCCACTGAACCTCCGACCTTCCTCCTTCCTTTCCCTCTTCCTTCATGGCCCTTCCACTGTGGCGGCGCTGTCGAGTGGTGATAACAATCTACCATGACATGCATTTTGGTTACCACCCAAATGAGGTTCTTTTTGCACATCTCCGGAGTTGCACCAAAGCCATCACCAAAAGTCTTGCACCCTTCGCATGGTTAAGAGTTGTTTCCTGCAAAAAGAGCTTATGCTTATGAAGAAGTGAACAAAGCTTAACATAATGGTAATGATGATGGTAATAACAATAATAAAAATAATGCAGTGCATGTGTTCTTTTAGCATTCTAGTTGCTTCTTTTCTTGGCTACAAAACTAAGCCAAGAATATTCTTTCTAGTACAAAATGAAACTAAAGTTTTAACCACATCTGCAAATGATTCATTAATGTCTCTATAGAAGCAGTTCAATCAGCCCCTACATCAAGCATCATCCATTGCTTTGAGAGAAGTTTTGAGAGAAAACATGACCATCGTGAACGATTTTCCCAAACCAAATGGGTCGGTGAGCATGTCAGGCCGCCTTGGTTTCCAATCAAGCTTCATCCATTGCTTCTCCATTGCCAAGAATATACCTATCAGCACTTGACGACACCGCCACCGTCACAGGTTCGGTGGAAGGGCCATGAAGGAAGAGGAAAGAGAGAGAATAATTGTGAAAATGAAGGAGGAAGGAAGAAGTATGGAGATATAAGATAGACGAAGAAAGAAAGAATGAAAAAAAAAAAGAAAGAAGAGAGAAAAATCTTATTTTTGGCCAATTTTCGGAGCTCCGACAACACGCAAAAAAACTTATTTTGGCCAACTTTTGAAACTCTAACAACATGCAAAAAGAGGTGGAACAAAGCGTATGAGGGGTGGAATGAAAACTAGGCCATGAGGTGAATCCAACGATGCGAAAATGAGGCGAAATAGATTTACGACAAGGGAGTTATAAGGGCTTGAACATGTAAGTTTGAATCTGAAAATTTTGCTGAGATTTCCGTTAGTTCAATCAGACGGAGATGGACAAGGGGCTAAATTGTGACATGGAAGTAACATCGGGGTTTTAATTGTTAAAATTGAACTTTTGGGGTTTAAATTGAAAAATACGCGAAACCCTGGGATTTTTATTGTAATTTGTCCTAAATTGTTTTTACCTAGTCTTTGCGGGCTTTTGGGTGAGGATAATTTGTATAAATTCTAATTGTAAGTGCGCACCTTTATTTTCCTAGACTATTCCTGATCTTTGTTGGGAGCTGGCTCAGCTTCAAGACACATACATTCTGCAAGGTATTTGACTTGTAAAGCTAAAACAGTTGGTTCATATCTAACTTCATCTTTCTATTTCTTTTTTATATATATAATTTTTATTCTTGAGTATGCAGGTGATTATGATTTGAAGGTCATGCGCCAAGAATACTATATTAATCGACAAAAAGCGGTATGTTTAGCTACATGATAATGTAATTTTAGCACTTTTCTATTACAAATTTTCTTGTTGAGAGATGCTGATAATAATAAAAGCACACTTCCAAAAAAAATTGTTTAAGTGCTTTTTTCAGAGATGGAACTTTTTTATTCTTAGCAAAGATGAAGTTTTTTGAGTTTAGGTTGGAAACCAGATTCTTGGTCTGTTAAACTAATATTGGCTTAATTAGTTTCTCAACACCTTACTGGTTTGATCATGGTATCCAAATTTGAATTTTACAAGTTAGATTTAAGTACTTTACATGATTGGTTTTAGCCATTATAATTTCTCTGTTAATAGATTATGACACTTTGCATTTACTTTTTTTTTAATGTGTGAAACAACCATGTTCACAAAGGAATATAACCAACCCAAACAAAGTCTCAAATCCTATCAAATGGGGTTAGCTGCATGAATCATTGTTCTCCACTCGACTCTATCCAAAGCCATGTTCACAAAAGAATATATGTTGTTAAAACCAAACTAATGTTGGCATTGCTAGGGTGTGTAGTGAGTTCCATTATGTAGCAATAGCAGCTTTTGCTGCACCAATGCTATTGTGGTATATGGTGTTAGTTCACATCTTCTTCTTATTACTTTTGTGTTATTGCAGTTCATAAATCATCTGATTAATCAGCTTGCAAGGCATCAGCTTTTAAAAATAGCTTGTCAGCTGGAAAAGAAGACCATGCTTGGAGCTTATTCATTGCTTAAAGTTATTGAGTCCGAGCTGCAGGGATACCTGTCAGCAACCAAAGGCCGAGTGGTATGTGGGCACTTTATTAAGGTTCTCAGAAATCACTCATTGAGCGTTTAATTCTAGGGAAATCTGATCATTTAGTTGCATTTCCCTATTAAAGTTTTTATCAATTTTTTTTTTTATTAACTTTAATTGTTAGTATCCTTATTTTTCTGTCTTGTAATCTTTATAGGGTCGTTGCCTAGCATTGATTCAAGCTGCATCTGATGTACAAGAACAAGGAGCAGTGGATGATCGAGATACTTTTCTTCATGGTGTTAGAGACCTCTTGAGTATTCATTCAAGTAATGACAGTACAATTTCTTCAATTAATCAAATCATATTCTTCTTCTATCTTGAAGAAAAAATAAAAAATTGCTCTTTTTTTTTTTTTTTTTTTTTTTTTTTTTTTTTTTTAACGTTTTGGTAGATGCTCAAGCTGGTTTGCCAACATATGTATCGGCACCAGGCATTGTTCAACAGATGTCTGGCCTTCAGTCAGACTTGATGACCCTTCAGTCTGACCTAGAGAATGCCCTTCCTGAGGACAGAAATAGATGTATCAATGAGCTGTGAGTTATCCTTCATTCCATAAAGCAAATAAAATATTTTATCGGAAAGCAGTGTATTTACCGAGCATCCCAGATATCAGCAACAGGATGTGTTTCTGTAACTATATAATTTTGTAGTTCTGTGAAATCTATGATAAGGCTGTGGCAACTTGAAAAACATGCCTATCAGGAATTTGTCATTTTCTGAGTTACAAATCAGATACTGATATTGTATGAAACTTAGAATTTACAGTGAGCACCTACTTTTGTGTTTGCTTATATGTTAGGTGCACTCTTATTCAAAGTTTGCAGCAACTACTTTTTTCGTCGTCAACAACAGCGCAACCAATACTGACAACTCGGGTATGCATTTCATCTTTTTCCATTGCATTTTTTGTTTTTTTCTTTACACTCGTTAAATGTGTTTTTCCAACATGCTCTTTCATGTCCTGTATAATCATCTTTTATTATGTTCTCCCTTTCATCTAAATCCACCCTGAGATTAATACGATGATATACTCTTCTGGTGGTCTTGTTTCAAATTTGATATTTCTGATTCTGAAAGAGTTGGTTCGTTATAGCCATTAATGAAAGAGCTGGATGAAATGGAAAAGATCAATGCAAAACTCTCCGCTGCAGTTGAAGAAGTAACCCTTGAGCATTGCAAGAAGAGTGAGGTAACTGTCACCCATTCTTTTTTGTTTCTTGTTCTTGATCGCTTTTTAAGTTCCAAGATGTTCAATCATGGATTCGGGTTATAATTTCTACTTATTTGTTTGCAAATTGTTGGCTGGCAACATAAAGTTGAGACTATTGTTGTTGCTATTTGCTATTAATGTTTTTCCTTAGTCATCAATCCGCAAACCCTGACATATATGATCACCATGTTTTTGTGTACACAACTCATCCAAAATGCTTCTGGAATGCAGATTGTAAAACATCATTCACAAGAGGTGGGCCTTCAGAGGCGGGTTTTTGTCGACTTCTTCTGCAATCCTGAGCGTTTGCGGAATCAAGTTATAGAACTGACTGCTCGAGTCAGGGCTTTGCAAGCTTCATAGTTCATCATTCGAATGCTGTTAATATTATACATTGGGCTATCAATCCCATCAGTGAACCGATGTTCGTAAAATCTCATGTCTATTATTGTCTTATTTTTATCGATGCTGAAAGATTTTAATCGAGTGGAACCCAATGTGTAGTTTTTGTTTATTACAATACCATTCATTTTATCACAATTCTAGCACAGGTTAACCATAGAAGTTCAATTTGAGATGACATATGCAGAAGGTTCGTGCGTAGAAGTTGGAAGAACATTTAGAAAGAAGAGAAAAACATTAGTTCTGTTCAGCTGCAGCTTTAGGGTTTATTTGTCTCCTTGATCGTTAAAAAAAGAACAAATTCAAAATTGAAAAAACAAGAAAAACACGTGAAACAATTAAGGAATAACATAAAACCTATGAGGAACAACCATCAATTGTTTTGTCATAACCTAGGAGAAAAATTCAAAAGACTTCACTTGGATGCTCATCCTTGTTAATAAGGTCGCTAGGGTGTTCATATTGTGCCAAAGCAGCTCTCCCAAACCTACAATGCAATTTTGTGTTAGTCGAATTGATACTTTGAACACTTCTCTCGCTAACATCGTACTCGGATAACATCAATGACAATTTCTGAGTCGCACCAACCCCAACCCGGTGCAGGCGGCACCTGAATGATCCGGCATGGGCTGTCGGAGCACATATGCAGTTTTTTCTCGTTGCGGCACTCGGCTTGCTGCCTATCACGTTCTTCTTCACTACATTCTGCATTGCTTTAGCTGAATCCTGTGTTGATCCCTGATTTGATGCAACACCAATAAAAGATACTTTTTTGTTTTTCTTCTTCATCTTCTTTGGACTGTATCTGTATTATGGTTAAGAAATAAAACAGGTAGTGAATGTTAGCTCACGTCTTTGTTAAAACTATAAAAGTTTGACCAGTGCTAAGCAGAGTAAACCAAACAGTAATATTACAAATCCATAATTAACCACTCAAAAATTATAGAATTATCATCTTATGAATCAGATTTATTTTACATATAGATCTTACATTATATAAATTTAATTTTCACCGTACAAATATTCTCCCAGCAAATTGTGGATGGGTATGTATGGTTTTCAGACTTTTCCTAAATCAAAAGAAAGATTCAAGTGTTTGAAGCTATTTGATGGAATAAAGACTTGAAAATCTCATATCTTTAAATTTTGGAACTATCATTAACAACCCAGAGGACAAATTAATCAGCATCATATCACTGATTTGATTTCTGACCTATAGTTGTTCACTAACCCGGGGGCTAGTCCAAAACAAAGTAATCACATGTTTACTTGTTGATTGATCATCTACGGTGAAAGCTAAATTTATAGTCAAAAAAATTATTATATCACGCCATTTTTTTACATATTTTTTCAATTAAAATAATCAATTCAAGGGTAATCCCCATCAATTGTAATGTTTATATGTAAGTGTGTATGTTGTACGCATCACATGAACGAGTCACAAAAATTGTTTTACAAATCTATTTTGAGATTTGTGTTGGTCGACTGGCTAATTGATTTGTGCCAATTAATCGGCCAGTTGACTAAGGCATGACTTTAACACAGTTTTAATGAATTTTTATAGTAATCTCTAACATTAATGAGGGGAAACAGTAAGTAGAGTCAATTCTTGAGTAAAATATCACACATAAGAAGCAATGATCTCAACAACCGACAGAAATCGAAACAAATGCTAAAAAAGGAAAAGAAAAGAACTGTAGATCAAAATACAAGAGAGTGACACACATACATACTATACAAATTTATTTAGTTTAGTATATGCATATTGAAAGCTGTGTTTAGTTGGGAGATTTAGGAAGAAATTTAAAAAGAAAAAGGAAAAGATATATGAAATTAGGTAAAATGTACATTTTACCTATCTTTTTCATTTCTCTTTTTAATTAAATAGGAGAGAGGAGAAAAAGGGTTTTAAAAAAAAAGGCAGGGAACATACGAGAGATTTGAGAAGGTAGTGACAGCAACGTCCCTGTTGAGTAACTCAGTGGGCATTCTTACTGACAATCAATCAAAAGCAGAAGAAAATCTCTTAGAAAACCAAACAAGATCGACTTTCACAGTAGAGAACTAGTAGATGCGACTATTGGGTGCACAAAGTTACACAACAATATGAACATGTCCTTCGTACATACGTTACGTGTATATATAGAGAGCAAACGATGAATCCAATTCCCAGTGAAAGAAGGAAAAGATGATGAGGGTGTGTGTGGTGTACTTTTTTTAATTTGGATATCATGAATATAGATTTGGTGCGTGATAACAGGATCCTCTCTAACTAACTATCTATTATTTTGATGATATTTTGGGATTATAATGAATTAATTACTCTCTAATTTGTTAAGCTAATTTCTTTTTTCTTCTTTTTGGTAAGCTAATTAGTAGTACGACTTTCACTCTCTATCTACTGGTCTTTTATAGAAACACAAAGATGAAAAGAACTTGGCCTAGACTTGTTGGGAGAGTAGTTAAAATAATTTAAAATTATTATAAATTATCATATTATTTTTTTTTATTAATAGTCAAAAATTAATTAAATAGTTAATTCTCAAACAAGCCTTTAATTTGATTAGTTTTCACTTGCTATATATAACAAAATTATAGAAGGTAAGATGATAAGTCACAATTGGTGATGGCAATATTTTGACCTATTTTGAGAAGTAAAAAAAAGCTAATTTTTAAATTTTTTTTTGAAAAAACGTGTAAAAAAAGGTAGAGAAATAACGTGATTCAAATAAGCCAATAAACTAATTTTTTTTATAGTTGTCAAAATAGGCCATTGTTTGTTCCTAATATTAGATACAATTATTGTTGCTTGAATAACTAATACGTAATGCTGTCTGAATGACTAAATTTTGAAAAGAGCTGAACCTGAGACTTGAATATAACATCTCAAAAGCTTACCACTTAACAACACCCGCTTGTTCTTTTAAGAGTTTTGTTCACCACTAAAAATTATTTTCCACCAGTGCCCAAACCAAAATTGCAGTTGTGAGTTTCACCAAAAACAACCCCACATCACACTGCCAAAATGTACATCCATTTGACCCACCTGTCTGGTTCAATACTCTTTTGTTACTTTCAATAATTCTTGCTGAATTTCTATTTGCACTGTCCACTGCAAGTTTTAACATTTAAACACTGCAATTCATAGTACAGCAGTGCTGCATACCCCCAGTGGGGGTCGCACCCCCAGCGAAGTGTCGCGTCCCCACTGGTTGAAACTTAAAAAAAAAAAAATAATTTTTTTTTAGCCAATAATAAAATGCCACCTCATTGGGGTGGATATGGACAAGAGTCCTAGATTGGGAGAAGACTTCAGTTTGGGTAAAGATAAGACTCTTAGAGAGTTTATCCTGATCCCACTGGGAGTTCCAGATTAACAGTAATCCTAAGTCCATTAGGGCCAGACTCCTTTTGGGACTAGGATTGTATTGGCTATAAAAGAAAGGCACCCCTATGGGTCTAAGGTAGACTTTTGATACTCAAGCTTGTGAGTTTAGTACTTGATTTATCTTTGAGAGATATACTGACTTGATCGTCGGAGTGCCCCCAGGTGGTCGAAACCACCGCGGGATTCTTGTATTTCTGTTGCAGGTCAGTCAGGTGCCATCTATTCTGCCAGTGCTCTCCAGCTGGTTACTAAGCGGGCAGTGTGGTCGGAAAATCACCCACACATACCCCTAATTTGTTTTCATATTGTATGTTATTTTTTTCATTCATCATATCACGTTTGAAAAGGCTTTTAGAAAAGACAAGTCTACTGGCAACGACCATGCGAGTTTTTCTTCGCATTGATTGCGGGATTTCAATGCATTTTCAAAATGTTGCTTAAATGGATGTAGATATGATCGATGATATGATGAAATTTGAGGGTTGTATGTTGATTTCTTTGATAAATTTCGACTCTAACGATTGAGGGGAAGAGATATGTGTTTTTTTTTTTTTTTTGAAGTGTGTTTTTATTTGTTGAAGTATGAATTGTTCATCTTTAATAGGACATTGACAATCTATTACACTTATTGATAGACACATTTTGGCTAATGTTTTAATTGAATGTGTGTATTTGACATTGTGATGGTTGATGTGTTTTGATATGTTCGATGTGTGGAATGGTGTGTATGGGTTCAAGGGTTGGGTTGGGGATATTTGGTTTTGGTTGTTAATTAGATGTCGAATGTGAACCACGCCGTTAGATGACAATTGTACATTGGGACCTGAATGATCGTGTTATGATGCATGTTACATTTAATGTGTAACGTTAATCTACATATACCATGTAACAGATGCATTTGTGTGTTTGTTCGATTGTATATGTGTTTGAATGTGTGTTATGTCTTTGTTGTAATCAATGTTTATATATGTCACAGTACGTTGTGCAAAATTATTAGAGATTTGGATTTGTAATTGAATGTGGATTGAATCTCATCGCTCGATGTTGAAATTACGCCAAGTTAGGAGTGATGGTGGTTCAATACATGGGTTGAGTTGGGATGTTATATGTTACATTTAGGAGGTTATATTATTTATAATTCAATTGTGGACTATTGGAATGTCACGTTAGTTTTGGGATGAGAAGCATAGGAAAATGTCACAGTGGGTTTGTAACGTTGCATTTTACATTTATGTTTGGTTTTAAATGAGAAGCATATGAAAATGTCACATTGGGTTTGGGAGTATCACGTTAAGTTTTGGAATGTCACACTAGGTTTGAAATGTTACATTTATGTTTTGAATTTTAAATTTCTAACTATATAGATACGATCACAATTTATGATAATATTATATTTTTCATATATAATATTACCATTAATAAAATTATTTTGAATTTTAAAAATATATGACAATGTCACATTGAATTTTAAAAAGAACAGGGTCACGGCGGTAGTCCCTCGCTCTGATGCTTGCCATACATGTAAAACGACGTCGTTTTACATTTTTTTCAAGGGTGAGGGTGAAGGAACCAACCATCACACTAGTCATAGGTGGTATGCTAAAGACAAAAGGGGTGATATAAAGTTTGTAACCCATTTGACCTTTTAATGCGTGGTTCATGTTAAGTGAACAGATAAATCATGTCATTTTGATTTTTTTTAAGCAAATAATTCAAATAATTTTTAAATAAAAAAGTATAATAAGGTAAAAAATACTCATTATTTTATATAATTTATATTTTTTGAAGTTGAATACTTTTTTAAATTCTAAAAATATTTTCTTTAATGTTTATTTTTGTCAAACTAAATTGTATCTTTTAAAAATATTAATTTTGAAATTAAAATTAAACAAACCATATGTATCAAAAGTGCAATTGAAAAGGGGGGGGATGCAATATAATTAAACTCGCTTTGATTGCATTTTTTTTCCTTTTCAATTACACTTTTGATGCATTTAAGTAAGTTTTGAAGTAGTCAAAATATATATAGTTTGCTTGATTTTAATTTCAAAATTAATCTTTTAAAAAAATACAATTTAGTTTGATAAAAATAAACATTAAAGAATATATTTTTAAAATTTTAAAAGTTATTCAGCTTCAAAAAATATAAAATTATATAAAAAATAATGAGTGTTGTTTACTTTATCATAATTTTTTACTAATTAAGTCTATATGAAAATTATTTCAATTGTTTGCTTCAAAAATAATCAAAATGACGTAGTTTAGCTGTTTATTCTTTCTCTAATGTGAACCATATAGTAAAAGATAAAATGAGTTACAAACTCTACATCACCCCTTGTGTCAAGGGTGTAAATTTGGCCCGGCCAGGCTCATGTCAGACTTCACGAGCTCCCGTCAAAATTCGAGCCGAATCGGGCCAGGCCACGGGCCAAAAAATTAGGCCCAGCCCAGGCCCAGGGATATTTGGGCCTTGGGCGAGCCGGTGGGCTTGGGCCTAGTCTTCAAGCTTGGGCAGGGCTGACCATTTTTTTTTAATTTTTTTTATCAAAATTTTATTATTTTATACTAAAAAAGACACTGGACCTCGGCGTGGGCCAGGCCTTGAACGAGCCCACAAGCGGGGCTTCAAAATGATGGACTAAACCCAGGCCCAGGGGCTCGGACTGGGCTCTGGCCCACCCTGGGCCTCCAGCGGGCTTTGGATCGTCCACAGGCCGTGGACCATTTTTACACTCCTACCTTGTGTTTTTAGGATACCACCTACTAATGGGATAGTTGGTACTGCCATCACCCTACAGGAATTAATAACCCTTGAAAAAAAAATACAAAACGTAAAATACTGTCATTTTACATGCACGGCAGGTACCACAATGAAGGACTACCGCAGTCACCCCTGATCTGTTTGAGAATGTCACATTATGTTTGGGCTGTTACATGTTACATTTTAAATTTCAAATTTCTAACTATATAGATATTTTCACAATCTATGGTAACATTGGATTTCTCATATATGGTATTGTCATTAATTAAATTATTTTGAATTTCAAATTTCTAATCATATAAATATGATCAAAATCTATGGTAATATTAAATTTCTCATATATGGTATTATCATTAATCAGGTTATTAATTAATCAAGACTGGGGATAAATGTGTCCACAAGAAAATCACAAGACCTATTGGATTATAAAGTTTTTCATATGACCATATTTTGTATAAGTATTTCGAATAGAACTTATAAATAATTATCCTACAAAATATAATATTACCTTTTATAATAACTATTATTATTTTTATGTGGTACATCATTGCTCATCATAAAATAGAAAAAATTAACCATCAGTGATAATATTTAAAAATTATTATACATTAATAAAAAAATTAATAATTTTAATTAGTAATATTTATTATTTTCTTAATTATTTTTTCTAATCACCACTTTTAAGTTATTTGTACATTAAAATATGGGATTATCACATCACACTAGAGGTTAGAAAAAAAAAATACAAATTTATAAAAAAATTATAATTATAATTATTAATATTTATAAAAGGCACTAGTTTCTTCCATTCTCAGATTAAACTAGAGGGTACTGTTGAGTTCGTAAGGGCCCATCATGAGTCCCGTTTCGATAATCCGGATTGTTTAATGTGTAGAATTCGTTGAGTACTATATGTCTGTAAAAATCATGTTGATTGAATATCGATACCTATTTTATCGGATCAAATTTCTGTCAACCGTTTATTTTTTTTATCGTCTATTTTTTTATTCAAAACTATTTTGATCACATAATTATCAATATCCGATCAATATAATTTTTTATAAACATATAGTACTTGATAAATTTTACACATTGAACGATTCAGATTATAATGAAATATATAATGAACCCCTACAAATTTAATAATACATTCCAATCCAATTTGAAACGAAAGAAAGCGAGACCTTTATGAAATGGGTCATGCTGCGTCGCTCGAAACTGAGCGACCCCTAATCCCTCGAAATTTTTTTTTTTTTTTCAGAAGCAGGGGAAGGAGGAGGAGGAGGAACTGAAGGGGGCCATCAAAATGGAAGGAAGCGGAGGCGGAGGCGGGGCTGGGCAGAGCCTGCGACGATGGGGTGGCTGGGCAGACGACCGACGGCGGCGACAGGTTGGGCGACGACGACGACGACGATGATGATGACGGGCTGGGCTCTCTTCTCTCTCTCTTTCCTTCTTCTTCTCTCTTTCTCTCTCTCCCTCCTGCGTTTCAGAGTCGAAATGGAAGAACAAGAAAAAAAAAAAATAAAATGACCAAAACAATGTTACTTTGGTGATTAAAGAGATTTGAAAGAAGAATTTCAGGAGACAAATCATTATCCTTATAAAATATATTTTTTCAAACAGCAATGCTACAGACCCCCACTGGGGATGACCCCCAGTGTCACGTGTCGACCTGGGATTGGCTGAAAACTTAAAAAAAAAAAAAAAAAAAAACAATTTTTTTTTTGGACCAATGGGAGGTGACCCCAGTACCCCACTGGGGTCCAAAGTTTTATTCTTTTTCAAAACAACACGAATGTGACATTTCTCCTAAAAACCGATGTGTGGGCCAGGGCACGAAACACAAAGCTGTTAGTCACTGGTCCGCGGTGCCGAGATGAAAATCCATTTTCAAATCTTTTGCTTGCTTTCACGAAGGTCCTTTATCGGTAATTTATTGGAACAAACGCTGATCACCAACAAATAATAGAAAAAGGTGAATGGTAGAGTAAGTCTCCGTTTGGAAGGTGGGTTCACTTTTTAATTTTTTAATTTTTTTTTGACTATTTTACTCTGGGTTTAAAAACTTAGTTTGAGAAGGATTTTTTGACTTTTTGATTTTTTTGAGTTTTTTTTGAGAGAATAATGTAATGATTATGGGTTTGATGTAATATTTTGTTTGTTATGGCTAAAATAACTTTTTTTTGTTTTTTGTAATTAAAATAGCCAAAAAAGCCCAAACCAGGGCTTCCCAAACAAAGCCTAAATAAATGATCAAATGTCTCATATGGGTGTGGGATTTATAAAATTACGGACTCCACATCCACGTGAGATATTTGGTCATTTGTTTGGTAGAAAATTTGATATCCTTAGCATTACTCATAGAAAAATTATGTCACGGTTAATATATTAATTAGAGCATTGATAGAAACCTCCTCCAATCACCATTCTCATCACTTTATACACATGTGACGGGTGGTGATTGAAGAAGAAAGAAAAAAAAATAAAAAAAGTAGCCAATCAAAAAAGAGAGGAGGTCAAAAGGGGTGAGAGAAAGCGGATCTTAAATATTTTTGTATTAATTAATATGTTAATTAGTACATATAACATTATTTAAAAGAATAATGTTTGGTAGCTCGAGACTTCCCCCCGAATCCCCCTAATGCCCAAAACGACGTCGTTTTGGGCATTAGGTTTTTTGTTTTCCCTCCATTTTCAATCTGAAACTGAAACGCAGGGGGAAGAAGGAGAGGGAGAGGGAGAGAAAGAGAGAAGAAGAAGGAAGAAAAGGGCTGCGAGCCTCGCCGCCCGCCGTCGTCGCCTCACCGCCAGCTCGTCGCAGCAGCAACAGTAGCTCCAGCTCTAACCGCCGTCTCCACCTCCGCCTCCTCCTCCCCGCATCCGCCTCCTCCTCTCCCGAATATTATGCCCCCTCCAGTCCCTCCTCCTCCTCCTCCCTCTTCCTCCTCCTTCTTCCTGGTTTTGATCTGCAAAAAAATGATCTGCAAAAAAAAAAAAAGAACCAAAAACGGCGTCGTTTTTGGTTCGGGGGATTCGGGGGAGGGGTTTCGAGCTACGTAGCATCACTCTATTTAAAAACAATCACTAATACTATATATTTATAAATTTTATTTAAGTAATACTAGACATATAGAGAATTAAATACAAAATTAAATATAAATTATTTATTTGGACAACTAGTTAGATAATCGGGTGGTTAATCGGCTAAAATTTGTCAATCGTGGTTGGAGCTTGTCAATCACGACTGTCATCTTGTTAACTGTGACTGTCATCTTGTCATCCAGTCAACCATTCGATCATCCAGCTAGTCGTTTGGATGAACAGTTTTTGTATTTGGTCTTTTTTGTGTGTCTAGTATTATTATTTTTATTTAGATTGTATTTGATTTATGAATTTAGATAAAAATTTAAACATTAAAAAAAATATTAAATTTAATTATATTTTATCTATACTTTTTTCTTTCTTTTTAAATTTTTACTCAATTCCATAAATCAAATATAGCATAAAAAATTATCAAAAATATAAACATATTGCCTAAATTTATTTTGTACACAAATCTCATTATATAAACTTCTACATTTAAGGATGATAAACGAGTCAAACAATTAATCATTCAAACATTATTCGAAAAATTTAATAAATTTCAAAATTTGTTCATTAAACTTACAAGCTAACCTCAAATAAGTTTTTGTTGAGTCAAAGTTAAGTAATTTGATATTTTTATGTAATTTTAGATTTATCAAATTGAGCTAGTAATTAACTAATCAAGTTTGATTCAAAAACTTAAACTAATTCAAAAATATATTTAAATTTAACTTATCTAACTAACAAATTGAATTCAAACAAGAATTTTAACAAGTCAGACACAAATTAAGTTCAAATTCGAATGGTTTAATTTGTTTATCAACCCAAAGTACACAGTTCTTCCATTTAACATAATCTGTAATCCAAATGAAAAAGCAAAAGTAAAGCAACATTCTCTTCCTCTCAAACCATACCTCTTTGTCTTTCTGTCTGGTAGTGGGAAACTTGAAAATCTGGGCTTCGTCCTCTCTGTTCCTTTTACTCGAATTTTGCCCTCTTTGATCGATCCCAATGCTTACTTTTCTCCTCTCCCTCCTGTTCTCCTCTCTATTTTTAGTGATGAGTCTCTCTGTTTTTAACTCTGCTTTTAAAACCCACCTAAACCCAAAAGGACAAAGCAACAGAGAAAAGAAAACCGATCTAAATACCCCCATCCTCTCTGTCTTTCTCTGTTTCTTCTGTATCCTTTATATCCTTCCACGACCACATACCACAAAGGAACAAACAAAGACTTGAAAAAAAAACTCATTTTTTAAAACTCTTTGAGGCTAAGATTCTATGGAAGTGAGTAAGCCTTTGTTCTCACACTATACTATGCAAAAATTTAAAATTAAACATTTCTTATATAATGCTGTTTAATGGGTTGGCTTGATTTATGATTTATGGTGGTGTGTTGATGAATTTAATAGGAATTCAGCTTTAGGGGAAGCCATGTACCGGCATTTGGAAGCTGGGATTGCAACAATGACGACTTGCCTTTCACTCAGTGTTTTGAATCTGCGAGGCAACCCGGGTTGCATCGTTACAGCTACTCTGAAGATCGTGACTTGTACGTGTCGGGGGACTTGTACCAGAACGATGTTGTCACTCCCGCCATGATCGTCGTTCCTCGCCGAAGGGTAAGCGTAAGCTCATGAAACAAGAAATCAAGTAGTGTTTTTTTGAACTCTCTCTGTTTTTCTTGGTCAATTAATGGTGGTGGTGGTGGTGGTTGCAGGCAAAAACGCATGGGAAAGAAGCGAAAAGGAAGGGTTGGGAGGTGGGTGATATGAAGGAACCAGCGAGCCCTGTTTCACCACCACCTCCGCCGCCACCAAGAAATGCTCCGAGAGCTGTTGATGAAGATCTTTACCAGATCTCACCGGACCTCCTCTATGCCAAACTCAAAAGGGTCAGTTCTTTTATCTTTTATTTTATTTGGATATTGAATTTGGAATCGGAAAGTGAGTTTTTTTAGTTTTTATTTTTTTATATATAATTGATTTTACATGTAATTTTTAAGTAATTAACATCTATAATGGGGGGAGGGGGTCGAGCACTTCATGCAATTCGAACCCCTACAGTCCCTGATGTGCTCTATCACAATTCAATGCAATTTAATACTTTGCAAGTTTAGTTTAGTTTAGTTTAGTTTTTTGGAATGAGGGTGGATGATTAAAAAGCAAGCAAGACGAACATGAGTTTGATTGATTTCATATTATTTTTCAAATATTGTTTTTGCAGAAGAGAGGGCGAGGCCTCTTTTCAAGCTGCTTGCTGCCGACCTGTATTCCATGATGAATCTGACTGGAGATTTATAGTACTGCCGCGAACATATATATATATATATATATGAAAAATGAGAATGTAATTTGTATTCTGCAGTAAAAAAATGCCAAAGAAAATGATAGAAGATAAATGATCATTATCATATGGTAATGGTTAGAGGATCTTCTTTCTAGTGTTTTAATTCTTTGTTTGTTTAGCTATTTTTTCCTGGTGCCTTTTGTTTTGTTGTCAATCCCTGCTAGCTGTGCAGAGAGTGGAGGAATTAGTGTTGGACTTTGAGGGTTGATCCAAGAAAATCTACCAAAAATATTTTTTCATCTTGAAATTATTATGGTGATCCATACCATATGTTCTACCTTTTGTTGTGTGAATATACCCCACTTTTAGGATGTTGTTGACTAACTGACGTTGAAATTACTCTCTAGATAATGGCTACGTGATTATCATAGTATATTCTCTCTCACAAACGAGCAAGGATCCTCTAAAGTGATTTTTTTCTAAAGTTTTCTAGAGTGTGTGATTGTGTGATTGAGATTTACTGACAAGTCACATCAAAATTGATGTGACTTGTCAGTAAATCTCAACCACACAATGTAACACTTTAGAAAACTTTAGAGAAATTTCACTCTAGAGGATCCTTGGTCCTCACAAACATTCAAAACCTCCTATAAATGGGTTTCACAATCTCATGCAAGAGATGTGCTGGATAGAAGATTAGAAGTGGTGTTGTATGTGAAATAATTAGATCAATTATACCAGTTGAATCAGTCATATTTTTCACAGAAATGCTAGACTCACAATAACATTGTGTTCGGTTAAGGGATTTTGAAAGGGAATTAAAAAGGGAAAAAAAAAATATAAGTAAAATATGAATAAAATATGTTTATATTTTACTTAGTTTTGTATATTTTCTTTTTCTAAATTCCTTTTTAAATTTCATAACCAAACACAGCACAAGTGTGCCAGAATTTGATCAAAACACAATTTATGGTGAAAACATTGAATTGGTATAGTGTGAAATTTATGTATATGCATTAATTAGTATATTAAATAATGTACTAATAGATGATGTGATATAATTTAAGATGTTTTTGGTATTTGTAATTTGTATAATGAGTGAAGTCAATAATGAGGTCATAACTAGTGTTGGTATATTAGTTAATACACTAATTGATGTATGTAACACCACTCATAGGATAAATGGAGATCATTAATTAATAATTTTGAGTAAAATTTTAGGTAAAAATTATAAATTTGTAGTATTGCCATATCAGCTAGTAGCTACCTCTCAAAATTTGTTGTTATCGAACCATTCTATATACACTCATTAGGAAGAAGCTCTATATCTAGCTTTAAAGAACTAATTGTGCAAAAATATATCTTCCATTACTATAAAATTAATGTAACTATTTTGAACCACTCAATACACAATAGCTTAAAATTTTATATTATAAAATTTAATTTTCAATATTTTTTTAAGTAATATAATATATATATATATATATTTATTTATTTATTTATTTAAAGTTGTGACTCATGGTTTTGAGAGGTTACAGACAACGTGTGGAACTTGAAATGACGAAGATGGAGAAAAAGTCGAGCCTTATAAAATCAACAATGATTCATCCCATTAAAAATATCACCACTAATAACACTAATACATAAAAAAAATAAAAATAAATAACAATTCCAAGACTAAAACATCACATCATTAATGGCGGAACCCACTGCCACCTAATTAGTGCTCCCAAGCATTTTTTTTATAAAATTATGTGAAGCTTTTCCTTTTTTTTCTTTTTTTTTTTGCCTTTTCTATTTTATTTTTCTTTCTTAAAAAATCCCTAACCTCAATTTCATTCCCCACCCCATGTGAGGATACAGTGCAGTACGATAAGAAACAATAAGACAGCATACACTACCAATAATGCCACTTTTTTGTATCATAAAGTATTTTTCATTTAATAATAAACATGAATAATAAATTATTTAAATCTATAACAATAATGATAGACAATAATATTATGAATAATGTTACACTCGTCATCTTTTTATATCATAAATTTATTATATTTTTATACAATGTTTAATATACTAGATTATGTTATACAATTATAATTATTAATGTAGTAAGTTATACATGAAATATATTAATATTTAATAACTATTGTGGCTCGGACAATGAAAAATGAAGACAAAAATAGAATACAACACAAATGTCACACAAAAATTTATCTCCGTCACATTTATATTTAGTTTTTGTATTGCTAGCATTACTCAGTGTCCATTTGGAAACTTAGGTTAAAAGTTACATTTTGCAGCTTATCTAAAAAAGCTAGATTCACCAAAAGTCAACAATTACGGCTGCACAACTCCCAATTCAAATTTTTCTCTACAAATCAATTTTTACAATTTTTTATTACACATTTTTCAATAAAAAGTCAAAAAGTTAACCCAAACATCCATATTTTCAACCTCAATTTTTTAGTCCAAAAAGACAAAAAGTGCACTTTTTTAATCTTCCCAAACTTGGCCTTAGTTTTTGTATTGCTAGCATTACTCAGTGTCCATTTGGAAACTTAGGTTAAAAGTTACATTTTGCAGCTTATCTAAAAAAGCTAGATTGGATTTTTTAACATAAAAGTCATTTGGGAAGGTCCAAAAAAGTTACATATAAAATTATAATTATACCCTTCATATTGTTTAGGGTTATACATGGATGAACATGTAAATTTCCTAAATTAGGTGGGATAGTTTGGTTATTTTATTGTGATGTGACATCATAAACAAATATTAACTAAAAAAGCCAAAAATAGTTTTTTACTAATTTCTCAAATCACTTTTCTAAAAAAGTCAAAAAATTTAGTTAAAAGCTAAAAGTCAGTTTTTAATCATCTTCTCAAAACATCCCTTATGCTATGTTTGGCATAAACTTTTTTGACTAAAATAGTCGTAAAAAGATAAAATAGGCTAAAAAGTCAATAAAATAAAATATCACATTCAAATCATAATTATTATTTATTTATTTTCATAAAAATAAAAAAAGTCAAAAACAATCATTTCAAATTAGACTTTTTAATCACAGATTAAAATAATCAAAAAAATCAATTCCCATCTCAAACAAAATCTGATTATATAAAAAATAATAAAGTAATTGTTGAAATGAACACATTGGCCCAATTACCACACCCCGTGAGTCCGAGTCAAGCCAATTCCCATTCACGGACTCACACTTGAGGGCCCCTCCATATCTCTCTCTTCTTGATTCTCTCAACAAACAGAGAGCAGGGCAGGGCAATATAAACGGATCACCCACAACACAACAACTACAGGTATGGGTCAGTGAGAGCCAGTGTGAACTTGAGTGATCATCAAAAATAGAGATGTTGGGGAAGAGGGTGGTGTTGGTGGTGGTGGTGGTGGTGTTGCTTGGGATGGTGGTGGGGTTGGAGGGGTTGGAGTTGTGTGACATAAATGAAGATGGTTTGGTGGCATGCAAACCCTCTGTGACTCAGCCCGACCCGGTGGATCCGACTCAGGGGTGTTGTGATGCACTAAAAGTGGCTAACTTGACATGTCTGTGTGGCTACAGAAACTCATTCATGTTGCCTTCTCTTGGGATTGATCCCGACCTTGCCATGGCACTCCCTGCCAAATGCAACCTCACTCCTCCTCCCAATTGCTGAAAGGCATTTATGTGAGTTTTATATGTTTATAAATGTTACCTTACCATAAAGGCCTTGTTTGATGTCATGATGTGTAATATCAAGATTTGACTGGATCATTGGCCTATTTTAAAAAGATAGTTATTATAATAAATTTTTTGTGAGAGAGGGAAATGGGGTTATATGGGAAGTGGATTATAACCCACTTCCTAAAAGATCCCATTAATATAAGATTCAGAAAGTAATTCTAGGACAATATTAGATAAGAGTATGCTTGATCATGGTGTAATAAATTAGTAATATATTAATAGATTTTTTTATATAGAATTTATATGAAATAATGTGACTTTTTTTTTTTTTTTTGTAATTTAAAAGCATCATATCACATCATACTAATTGAGTTTTTCATATAATTTTTTTGTGTAAGCATTTCATGAGAGTATTATTTTTTCAATAATGACAAAAACACTAACAAACGTAATACTAATAAATATACTAACTAGACAATATCATAAGGGGTCAGTATATCAATAGTGGAACTCACATGTAAATCTTGTATCTTGGTTAATATGTTTATTAATATAGTTGTTAATATCCCTAACATTATTGATAATTATTGATGAAGGTGAAATGCTCATACATGCATTAGTATATTTAAATATCATCTGCTCCTTTAAATTAATTATATTTGTTGCTTTTCTTCTTAATTTCAGGTACGTAGAAAAGGAGAATGCAAAGTATTCTGGTGTGATGTGTCTCATGAAATGTTTCAATTTCTAATGTTGTATTGTACCAAGAAGAAGACTGAAAGAATTTCTGTGTGTAATGTGAATTAGTTTGTGTTTACCTTAGACTATTCTAATTATGTGGCAATGATCTTGTGGGTTGTAATGATATTGTCAAAAATTATTCAGTACCCATCATGAATCACTTGATCACATCATCTATAAATTATTAATTGTCATTTTTTATATTGTCACTTCAAATACTAATACAAAGTGATAAATCTCTTTCTATACACACTAATCATATTTTAATATGTGACACCACATAAGCAAATACAAAAACATTCAAAATTTTTGTTTCTTTATCTTGAATATCTAACGTATTTTTCAATCATAAGTGTTTTGAAATTCACACTATTTTAGACAATTGGATGTGCATTGGATATAGAGAAACGACTATATTTTGTGCAAAAAGCCCCCTTGAGAAATTTTATGTAATCCAACTTGAGATCCTCTATTACATTTCTTCGTATCACAAAAGGAATGAGATCTGGAGCCATGTATCTAATTAAGAGACTAAAGGACAAGAACCCCAAAGCAATAATGAAGAGACTAAAGGACAAGAACCCCAAAACAATAATGAAGGGAAAAAACAAGAGAAGAGGAACAGAGTTCTCTCCCATTCTCAAATGGTTTGATGAGTATCAAATTATGTAACCAGCATGAATTTTGGTCTCCACGCAAATTTGAAGTGTTCTAGGATTTCTATTCAATTGCGTTAATCCTGTGTTTGGTTGGGGGATTTTGGGAGGAATTTAGAAAGGGAAAGGGAAAAGGAAAATGTGTGTTAAACTAGGTGAAATATAGGCATGTTTTATTCACATTTCACCTACATTTTTTATTTTCCTTTCCAAATCTCTCCCCAAATTCTCCAACCAAACACAGCATAAGGGTTGATTATAGAAATG